TTAGGCCTGATTGGCCTGCGTTTTTTTTCTATTATTTTTATTTTAGAGCTGTTATAGTATCGATTTTGACAACAAAAGCTTATTTGGTACGGCTTTTTACAGAATACTAAAACACTTCATGAACAGTGACCCAAAATTAAAATAGTAAAAATATGTTTTTTTCTTGTTCTGACAACTGTTTATGGCTCAAAATCATAACTGTGCATGTTTCTATTTCCGATATTTTCATAACAAAACATTGTTTCCAAACGTGCTTCCAGATTTTTTTTTTTTAAACACTCCTACAGCAAAAAATAATAATTTTGTTTTAGCCAAAAATAAAACGCCTAAAACAAAATGCATGCCAAATTACGTTTGGAAAGTGTTATGTAGTGTAGTGTTTTGTTTTAACCTAAAACAGAATAAGTGTTTTATGATGTGGTATTCTGAAATGAAAACATAACATGTCTGGATAAAAATTTAGAGTGAAAATTTTGGAATAGAATTTTTTTTTTATGATTAAAATAATTAATTACAGAGCTTGATTAATTTGCAAAACAAAAATTACAGAGCTTGATTAGTTGATTTAGAAAAAAAATTAAAACAAAACCCATACACACATGTTAGTAGTTGCAGAGAGAGAAAAGGGGTAAGCTTAAGAGTTGAGAAAGCGGCTGAAGCTTGCGAATGGCTAAAGCTTGTAGAGTTTGTAGTTTACAATTGCAGAGCGAGAAAGAGATAGTGCAATTGGGGGGCTGAAATGATTTGCCCTAAAAATGGATTTGCAGAGTTGAGAACGAGAATAGAGATGGAGGCATTTGGGAGGCTTAAATGATTTGCCCTAAAAAAAAATTAAAGCAAAACCCATACACACAGGTTAACAGTTGCAGAGAGAGAGAGAAGGGGCAAGCTTAAGAGTTGAGAGAGCAGCTGAAGCTTGCGAACGGCGAATGGTTGAAGCTTATAGATTTTGTAGTTTGCAGTTGCACAGAGAGAGAGAAACTAGGGCAATTGGGAGGCTGAAATGATTTGCCCTAAAATGAATTTGCAGAGTTGAGAACGAGAATAGAGATGGAGGCGTTTGAGAGGCTGAAATGATTTGCCCTAAAAAAAATTACCCATCATCATCCAAGATCGCTCTTTCAAACATCCTCAGAGCAAAGCTCCGCAAGTGTTGTAAACATCCATCACCATCTCTCACCTGCCTAGGCTGGACACACAGAGCTCCCACATCGGAGTATGGCAGAAGCGAGCCGAGGAATTCTCTTACTCGAATTGGGTGATGACGGTGGAGCTGGGGAAGAAGATTAACAAACAAGTAGTAATACTAGCGGCAAATGAGCTGAAGGAAGAAGCGCCGGTGGAAGCACAAGCAGCAGAGTCGTCTTCGTCGTCGTCAGGGCGGGAGGTGGTTGTGAAAAATGGAATGGATGAACAAGATTATGATTTGTTTAGCTACACTAAATGTTTGGCTAGAACAACATAGAACATCAAAATCTTGTTCAAGCTTTTTGGCCAAGTAGTAGATTTGTTTTGAAAGTATTTTGGTACTATTAAGAACAAAATAATGCGTCCCAAACATGTTGTGGACTCAAAATAAGTTACTGTAACGGCTCGAAAACACTACACACATGGGAACAGACACATTAAACAGGCCCTAAGTTTTAATGCAATACAATATTTATCTTTTTAACTTGGGTAGAGAGACAAAGCCGTACAACTTCTTAAAAGCAGCTAGCTCAAAACGGCTTACTTTTTGGCTAGAAAACCTTTTATAGAACCTCGAGATTTGCGTCTTACGTAGCGGAGCTGAGTCCATGCTCCTGATGTCATTGAAATGACATCTCCAGCAGATGTCGGATATTTTATTAGAGCTAATTGGACCTTCCCAGTACCTTCATCTACTCATTTGTCGGTGGATTACGCGTCTCTTTATTCCTTTTGAGGAGCCCGCCAATTGCCGTGTTGTGCTAGAAAAATCAAATCAAATTTTTATTTATTTTTTCATTCTTTAACCACAAATCTAAATAGAAGGCAGGAATCGTTGGACCTTCCCAGTACCTTCATCTACTCATTTGTCGGTGGATTACGCGTCTCTTTATTCCTTTTGAGGAGCCCGCCAATTGCCGTGTTGTGCTAGAAAAATCAAATCAAATTTTTATTTATTTTTTCCTAATAATTTCAAGATTCCTGCCTTCTATTTAGATTTGTGGTTAAAGAATGAAAAAAAAAAAAAGGAAAAAATATATCTGAATGTTTTGATGTTAAAGGGACTCTAAGTACTAAATTGTGTACTACATTATTACAATGTGTAATTATTTTTTATTAATAAGAGAAATAACGAATGCGTATGAGGAATAACATAATTGATATTTTTGAAATTATTGGGCGAACTTGCATGGAGTTGTTAGTAGGGGTGTACAAAAGAACCGTGAAATCAACACCGAAATCGGAATCGGAACCAAATTTTCAGTTCTCACGGTTCCAGCTCCGATCCCAATTTCTAAAATAAGGAACCGTTGAGATTTGGTTCAGTTCGATTCTGATTCCGGTTCCGGTCTCACGGTTCGATTCCTAAACCGAACCGAACCGAACCGAACCGTATTATATATATATCATTGATGAATAGATAAAAGAAGTCGTCGAGTTTGTGAGACTGGAACAAAATCATACATAGCCCTTTGGCTCCAATGTATGCCATAGAATCCACACTGCTACTACGAATATATACATATCATAGATTTTTTCCTTTTTTTTTCATTCTTTAACCACAAATCTAAATTCGTAGAATCCACACTGCTACACCTTATTCTCTATTCTCTAACAAGGAGGTAAAATGACTTTATTGCCCTTTTAAGGTTAAGAATTTATACATATCATTGATGAATAGATAAAAGAAGTCGTCGAGTTTGTGAGACTGGAACAAAATCATACATAGCCCTTTGGCTCCAATGTATGCCATAGAATCCACACTGCTACTACGAATATATACACCAAACAAGCACCATAGCTGCATATGTGAAAAGGATATGAAAATCAATTCTGCTGGAGAAACAACAATCTTTAACCAAATAATAATAATAATAATAAGTATGTTCAGATGTTTCAGTAAGAGATTGTCGACTTGAATTGAACTCTTCACCAAAAATGTTTGGTTTAGCAATCTCACATAGAGGAAACTTGGAGAGGGAAAAAGAAAAATATCAGAAACTTACTCAAATGAAGGCAGCTAGCTAGCTAGCTAGATTTAGGGTTTTTATGAAGTGCATGTCAACAAGGAAATGTATTTATAGAGTGCCAAGTGATGGTATATACTTTGCAATTAACCAGAAATATTTAAAACAGATTTGAAGATTAGTCGCCATCTTAGTTGTTAGGAAACTTCAAATTAATCATTATATATAATAAGAGGGTACGTAGTTGGTAATTTCTACCTATCAATGACTCCTTCTTATTTGATTTTACTTCCACGAAAGTTGTTCTGGAATATTTAAATGTCAACAAGGCTTCAACGTTAATTATCGAAAAAAAACAAGGCTTCAACGCGTTCAATGTACATATATAATTACAATTATCAATTTAATTTTAATATTTTGTGTTGATCTTCACATTATATATGCCAGGTTATGTTATATATAATTTGGATTGTTATGTTTTTGGCGAGTCCTTAGTTGCTATATATTGTACGCAAAAGGAAAGTGACGCATGTGGTGAATTGTGAGGACACAGCCAGCGAAAGGAATTTCTGTGTACCTACTGTGTGTCTGTGTGTGTGTTGGGGAGGGGTTGTGCGTGTAAAAACTAGAAAGCATAAACAAACACACAAATAACCACTTTCTGCTCCTGACGCCATTAATGATGATTGGAACCTTGGTCAAGGAAGCTGGGTGCTCCCACTTCTCTGTATTTTCCTTTTCTCTCTTATATATATATTTGCCATGTGATCTTTGATTTATCCCTTTCTTTTCTTCTTACAAAAATATATTGATGGGTCACATAGTGGTTGGATAAGAATGAAAGAGGTAATGAAAGTGGAGCTTCTTATGTGGGGCATAGAAATTGCGAGAAAATACAGAGAAGTTAGGACTGACTTGATTCATTTTTTAAAATATATATTTATATATATATATATATATATATATTTTAAATATAATTTATTTTCAGATAATTATAAAAGACAATTTTTTCTTTTATAGTTGAATTCTTAACATATAATTTCTTGAAAACTGAACTAATTAAGAGTTTTTGAACCATTTTTTAATTTTTAAAAAATTGAAAAAAGAAATAAGTGTAGAGAAGTGGTCTCATTCCTTTTGCTTGTTGGGCCCTTTTCTTGGGTGTAGTTTGGGCCACTTTAGGCGTTGTTAGGTCCTGATTTTGGGCCTTAGCCTGTGTTACTTGCTTCCTCTTATGATATTGATGGGGTATTGTCCTTTCCATTTTTGTAGAGTTTTTTTATTCTTCTTTACATACTCTGAAAAATCTCAAGGACAATGTACTTGAAATCTAACTTTGTTTCTTATTTAATTAGCACATCTCACACATTTTATTTCAATGTACTTGCTTAGCTCAGATTTGAGATCTTTACAAGTTTGTTAAATCTAACTTAGTTGAATTTTGAAGATAATTATGCCATTTTGATATTTCGATTACACAATAGAGATTTCAACAATCTAGCTTCATCAAAAAGTTATTAGAAACCCTTTAAACCTAAATTTGATATTAGATGTAATTTCTCTATTTATGTTTTCAAATTATTATTATTTACCGCATAATTAATACAATTGAATATATTGATATAGTAGATTCAATATATGAAAATTGTCATGGAAAAAACATATAAATGATGAAGCATGCAAATTAACTGCAGATGGAATAAAGCAGAAAGTACAATAATACATACAAATTAATAGATAACATTTTTTTGGTTAAAGGATTAATAGATTACATTACCAACACACAAATCATTATTTTAAGAGACCAATCCAAGATGTAGAACACCAAACTTTTAAGATTACTAACTAATTAAATATGTTGGAGAAGAGTTCCACCGCAATTGGAGCCACACCTGCAATAATCCCCGATGGATCGACTGCCGCCCCCAAAAGTATGCCAGCTATCTTTGCTGTTTCCTTGAAAAAATTTCGGCCACCATACTTTTTGGAACGACGTCGGCCATCTAGGAGTGATAGATCCATCTCCTCTAATGTCATGGAATACCCTTTCTTCCATGCCTCGTGCTTCATTTCAGGAATACAGTATACATGAAAGCGATACTTCTTACAAGTAGAAATGTAAGACCAGCCTGAAACGTGGGTTTTCTGACCTTTCTTGTTACACCACATGCACTTTGATGACGCCTTATCACGAAGTCTGAATATCACTTTGTTATTAGTGAATTCAGGTTTGAGTTTGCTACAACAAGGGTGAAAGCTCCATCCCTTCACTTTCTCGCAGTAGACATAGCCACATATGTCCCTCCCACAGGCAATGCAACATCTTGGTTGCTTCTGTTTTTTGTAGAATTTGAGAGTACTGCGTTCTTTGAGAAATTCATGGAAAATTTTGAGTTCTGAAGACTTGGTATGGCATTCCTTATGTAACTCATAGTCAGAATTTTTATGTCTGTATCTTGGTCCATAACCGTCCTCCTTGCATCCATCGCAGGTGAACCTTTTTTCATATTTTTTCCACTCATAGTCATGCTCGTTGCGAGTTTGATTTTTCTTTGTTTTTTTTTTCTTTCCTGAAATCATGAGAACAAAAAGTTAGAGAACGAAGAGTGGCCGTGGAGGGAGTGTAGCAGTGAGTACGTGTAGCAGCGGCGTTGGTGGTGAAGAGAATGAGAGAGGGTGGCGAAGCTCACCGTGCTCTCAGAGAGGGGGCATGGGGCGGTGCAAGAGAGAGTGGCAGAGGCAATTAATTGAGAGGTGCATTTAGAGGTGGCAATTCATGCTTGTGGGTCATAATTGTGTGTAATGATATTTTACTAAATAAGTAAATTCAAATCTGACGCATTTAATAATCGTGTCAGGGACTCTCAATACTAACTCGACATATTTATTAAACGGGTTGACCTGTTTATTAAAACGAGACATTTAATTTTCAATCAAATAATAAATACAAGAAAAAATTTATCACAATTAACCCTAATATTCAAAACAAGAAAAATTATAGTGCTTATTTAATATTTATGTTAAAATGACTGAACTGTTTATAGTAATTGTATTTAAACAGGTAACATAATAAAAATAAAGGCAAGCAGATTAACGAAGACCACATAAAGAAAACCGGTAAAGCCAGGCCATCAATATAGAAGATGATGCGGGCAACCTCGGCATCACAGAGAACACAAAGCTCATAACCCTTCTTGAGGAGTCCATTCCTTCTCTTAACAAAGGTCACTTGTCTATATATCTTGTTCTCGATCCTCTTCAGCTCCACCTTTCCTCTTCCCATTATTATACTATTATAGTTCCAGTATTGTAATAATCAATCTCATGATAATTCATATAATACATAATTATCAACAATATATATATATATATATAGTTAGCTAAAGCACAAAAAGATCACAGTACTAACCAATAAATGATCCAAATAAATATATAATATATATATATTGAAATTGTACTAGATATGTATATTTAGTAACTGTTTTTCTTCTTCTTCTCTAGGGCAGGAGTCTAATTCATTTGTGGGTAGGTCTTAGGTTTGATGATGTACTCAGCAGTGTATCTATCTATGTATATAGATATATATATATATATAGAGAGAGAGAGAGAGAGATTTACATAGATGGAAACCTTGTGGAGTACAACTATCTCTCCTTCCTTAGTTTGGGTTTGGAAGCTACGCCTTTCCTGTCCATATAAAAAGAAAAGGAAACAGTACTGTTCTTCAATAATTGTCTGGTTTTGGTGGAGGAGGAATAGTTCAGATTAGCGCTTGGGTTAAAATCGGTAAAGCCAGCCGGCCAATTCTTGCCCGCCGATGCTGCGCCGCAAGTTCATCACAGCCTCCGAAGCTGATCAGATTTGCCGATGAACGGAGAGAGTTACAACACTTAGACAACGTGCAGGTCACATGAGGGGCATTGAGGGTATTTCATGCTAATTATTTATTTTAATATTTTTTTTTTAATTACAATGAATAATTTTATAAATTTACAATGAAATTAGTCGAAAAGTAGCCGGAATTGAACTTCAGAAGTTATTTTGCACGAATTTAAATAATTATGGTATTAATTTATTTATTTTTATAGTCTAGGTGGATAAAATGTCTATCCGTAATAATTCAAGGGTTTGTACTTTTGCCTTTGCTTTTGTGGTTTACAAGCAGTCAATGACACCAAGTGACCAAGTCCAATGGACCACGTGGTGGTGAGAAATCTGGTGACTAAAATAGACTAATGGTGACTATACAATTAAATATATATTGCAGACAGACTTGACACGTGATGGTAATATAGCGTGGAAAGTATAGTACGGAGTAATATGGTTTACCAGAAGTCATTGACACCAAGTCCAATAACATGGACCACGTGATGGCCGGTGAGGAATCTGGTGACTAGGGTAGACTAATGGTGACTATACACTATACAATTAAATACGTATATATTGCAGACAGACTTGACACTTGATAGTAGTATACTCTGTAGTATGGTTAGCATAGTACGGAGTAATACAATATACAATTAAATATAATAAAGATATATATATATCCAGTTTGATTCGATTCAGGCTTAATTCCTACGGGTTGGATTGGGAATCGGAACTGAATGGTAAATGGATGGCTCTTAATTTTTAGAACCTGAACCGGAACCAAAACCAAAATCCCGGTTCAATTCAGTTCACAGAATTTTTTTTTTGTGCATCCCTACTATTATGAAATCTTAATCATCATGAAATCTTATGCATCCTTCGTAATATACTGGCATGCATTGAATTTCCTAATACCAAAAAATAATAAATAAATAAAAACTCAAAAAGATTGTACTAACAGAATTATCTATATTCTGAAATATAATTCTATTAAAAAGTTATTTTTGGTCTTTTATTTCTGCTACATTTTTCTTTTTATTTTTTAAGTAAATTTTGTATGAAAAGTTAAAATAAAATTTCACGTAAAATAATTAAATTTTAGCCTGTTACCCATAATTAATAATACTCCAGCTAATGTTATTTTCCAGGGATTAAACCTAACAAATAAATCAAACAAAACTATAATTAAATCAAGCACAAATCTATTATGTGACATTAGTGTTTCATGATTTAAAAAATAAATAATAAAAAATATTACGGTTTTGATGACGGCGGGAGTTGGGCTCCCGTTTGTGGGTGCTGAGGAACTGATGATGATTCTTTGAGTTAGTTGGGTCACATTTTATACAACTACTTTGAGACAATGTAATGTATCGAAGTAAAACATGCTCATTTTATTTTGAATAAATTACACTCACAATCCCAAATTTGGGTTAAAAACAACCATCTACAATTTGTATACTGTTTGGACAATGACACCTCCAAGTATGCCAAATTGGACAATCACACCCCAATCACCTCTAGTTATTTTATTTTTTAAACTTGCAACACTTTTATACTAAATATGTTTTCATGTTTTTGCTTCCAAAAATCTTTCAACACAAATACTCTTCCGAATAATATTAACACACTTTAAAAAAGAAACATTATTTCTGTTTCGTGTCAAAGTAAAAACACAAAACAAATATGGTTATGGTTCCCAAACTGGCACTAAGTGTTTCAGTTTTGGCAATTACTAGAAATTCAAGCAATTGTATTAATTAGGTGATATGTACAAAAATTTGTATTGAGGGGGCAACAAAGTGTTTTTATCCTTATAACATCACTTTGAGACAATTAATGAAATAGTTTGGGGGATTTTTAGGACAGTTTTTCTATATAAGGAAGTTTTATGCCAAAATAAAAATTGAAGGGAATTTTACACAATTTTCCCTTCACCGAAAATATAATTTTTCCTTTACAAAATCCTCTTCCGAATAATATTGAAAAAACTCCAAAGCAGAAATATTGATCCGGGTTTAAAAAATAAAAAATAAATAAAGGAGAGGAGGATGAAGTGAGTTGAACGTGGGTCTAACGGGTAGGCTTTTGCCCATTTACCCAAAAGTTCAAACTGTTGGGTAGTGCTGCATACCCACCCATTTATACACACTTCAACCTCAATTCAAATCCGATGTGGGACAAGTCTCACTTGTAACATTCTCCCTCACCCGAATTCGCACAACACCCTCGTTACTGTCGGACCACCCTGCCTACTCAGGCGAGACCCAGACGCCCTCCGGACTTGACGCTTGACGTGACACCAGATTAAGGATTGGGTTTCGCTCTAATACCACTGTGACGGGTGAAAGAGCAAATTTTGGGATATTATCATTGCATATATATATACTCTACACAATATTTTCTTACAATCATTTTACTAAAATTGTATAGTGATAAGCAGGGTCGAACCCATATTCAAGTTGAGATTTCGTATTGGAATTTAGATTCAAATTGTTATTTAGAGAGGAGAAAAAATATTAAAACCATTTTTGTAATTTTGAAACTAACCTACTGAAATTAAAAACATCTAATCTAAAGGCAATGAAATTAAGGACGCATTTAAATTAACATAAAGAAAATAATAACATAATTAAAATACATGGAGTGAGAAGAATACATAAAATAAATTCACAAGTATTGAGCTAGCAAGCTTCTCAGAGCAGCTCTCCGTAGGAGATAACCTATCCTACTGTTCAACTCCTAAATCGAGCTCCCCCAATCATCAAAGGTCTTTGCATATTTATAGGTGACTCTCTTCATTCACTCTCACGCATGCTAGACATATTCTCTTTCCCCACTTTATCCTTTTCTCTATCTCTCCTCCATCATTCTCTTTTAAATTATTGGGTTAATTTCCTTAGGTTTGACTAATATTACATTGAAGCGCCTTTTAAAAATTAGTATTACTCAAGTCTAATTTTACTTTTCTTTCACTAACACCGTTTAAAATGTACGAAAAAACAATTTTATCCCTGATATTTTAATCCTATTTATTTCAAGATATTAAATAATTAAAATGACCATTTTACCCCTCATTTACTACTCCCACCTAGGGATGGCAATGGGGCAGGGTGGGGCGGGGATCTTATTCCCCATTCCCCATTCTCATTCCCATTCCCGGTCAAATTTTTTACCCCCATCCCTTCTCCATACCTGTTTAATTTTCAACCTTCTCCCCCATCCCCGCCCCGCCCAGCATAACATTTTTTTAATTTTAATTCACTTTCAACAAAATCAGTACAATCATAATATTTTTCAAACTAATAATTTAATAAAACTTCAGCACAATTATAACAATTTAAAACATGATCAGATGTTTGATGCACAACGATTATATTTTTTCTCTATGCTGCGAAAGAATAGATCTAGAGCTTCACTTTCATAAATGAATATATTATATATATAGTTATGTAATTTAGTAATATTTTATAACATGTAAGGGTAATTTTATAAAAATGCATTATAAACGGGGCGGGGTTACCTTCCCCCGCCCCATCCCCTGCCGAAGTTTCAAATACAATCCCCATTCCCTCCCCATTTACATAAATGGGTTCCCAAACCCGCCATAAACAGGGTGGGGTGGGGTAGGACCCGCCAAGTATGGAGATTTTGCCACCAAAACAGGATTCCTTCTCTGTAAAGCTTTTGAAATCGAGGTACAGAAGCTCGAACCTTTTTTCAGCATCATTGCTGTCATACCAGAACATGTACAACAACTCCAAACCACTTGATTTCTCTATCCCCGGCAGTCTCTCGTCGGAACAAAAATCTTCAGGCGTCACGAAGGGGTTTTTCCTCTACTTTCTCTCTCCCTCTGAATTTCAGCACTTTCCACCATAATCATCTTTGTAGCTAACCCTGATGATCCAAACAAAAGGAGTGAAATAAGTAAAAATTAAAAGTTCTTGATGAAGCAAGCAGTGATCCCATTCATTATCTTAAAAATAAAAAAGAATTATTAGTCCATATACCA